TTTATATTTTGTATATATTTATTCTTGAAAAATTACACAAAAAATGTTTGCACATTCCGTATGTATTCATTATTTTACCGCTGAGCCCATAAATTTATCTTCTCCTGCGCGAGAATTTTGTAAAGCCCATGGCGGGCTAGGAGGACCCGTTCGCACCAGTTCGGTAAAAGTACTAACTATTTTGGATTCGTTCACTTCCTGCAACTAAGTTCAACTATATTGAAAGGTTTGATTTAGTTTAAAATTAACAGTTTGGGTTCAGAACATCCACGTGGATGCCCTCTATTACATATCTGAGAAAATATTAGGTTCAAAAATGAAAAATCTTTTAATGGTAGGGACCGTGATTGAATTATTGCCTTTGATCTTGTCAACCATGACCTATTAATTATGAACCTTGAATCTCTTGGTGTGTTTTCTTGGTGTGTTTACCTGGATTGGTTTTGGTCAGTGGACTGTCAAAAAGTATTTATAAATGAACATACCTCTTCCACAGTTCTTGCTACTACAAGGGTCCCACAGGGCTCAATTCTTTGCTACTTTTATTTAATGGTTTCATCAATTACTTACCGCTAAGGATTAATATTCGTGTCGTATCTTCGATTTAGGAAAGATTCGTCTATTACACCTCGGGTCATTCACTCTCTCAAGGGCCCAAATCATTGAACTGTTGAATGGTTCATATCCCCGGGCTATCATACGGTATGCTCGCCACGCCTGAAGTATATACCATTTAGTCCAGGAATTTAATTTTTAATTTCGTATACACCTTTCCTTCATTAAATACCACAATCATCAAAAAGAAAGATTTATGATCTGGACGAAAAACTCATTTTTGTGCATTTATTTCTATTCATTTTATGCTCTACTATTAATGCATTTGTATCCAGTATTTTATGTTTAATTTTCAATTTCCAAGTATGTGAGACAATTTACAACGATCTCCGACGACAGACGGATTTAATTCCATGTTGAATATACTTTTATAAATATTTTTCTGGATGTGGACAAAATTTTAAAATAAAATATTTCTAATGATCATCTATCTTCTTATCTATCCGCAAATTATGCCACTGTCATTACGGTTGGCACTAGTGTTAAATCAACATCAAAAAATGTTTGCATGAACTTCAATTCGAGAGCGAGCCGGAAATCAACCCAATTGGTTGTCAAGTACGGCAGCGAAACTTTGGGTTCCTTACCTTATAATCTTTATATTTTAGTTTATGAGGTCTTATCAACCATCCGGTTGTAAGTGATTCTGAAAAATGCCCATTTGTAAGTATGTCGTATAATAATATATATTAATTCGAACCCTCAATATTAATTATGATCGTTAAAAAAAAAATCACCAAAACCCTGAAAAATCGTGTTAGATTAAATTAGCAATTTATTGCATGGTTTTGCTGTTAATTACGCGTATTACCTTTTCAGGCCTCTTGGAAGGTCTTAAGTCTCCTAGTGCTTGCGATCGGATTTCACCTTGTGAAATAGAATCCTATAGTTCAACAGAGCGCTTTGAAGCTGTTCAATGCTTGTTAGAGACTGCGAACGATGTCTAATCCGTCTCTTTATCTTGTCCCATAAGTGTTCTATGGGATTCATTGTCGCAATCTCTACATGTAATGGGAGACAACTCTACTGACCCTGAGACATCTACTACGGTCGGGAATTATCATGCTCTAACACGAAGTTGTTCCCAATAACTGGAGCGAATGGGACCACAGCTTCCAGAAGAACTTCCTCAATGTTCTTTAGTGCAGGCAAAGATCCATTCTGTATGATAATAGTTCGGGCAGGGACGTTGATTCCACCCCATACCATAATGATCTCAAAAATAGGTTGCGACTCTCGCATGGCATATGAAGCAAAGCGTTTTCCACACATGGACTCGGTCATCTGAATGCCCAAAACCAAACCGGCATTCATCTGCGAAGAAAACAGCCCCGATTTGCGAATAGACGCCTTTCCATTCGATTCTTCTCCAGTATTAGAGAACCTGTGCGGGACGTCTAGAGACGCTATTCTCAAGAAGCCTTCTGATGATTTTTAGAGGTCACCCTTACATTATGGACCGCTTAAAGTTGACTACCTCTCAAGGAAGCCGTCAAATGACGGTTCCGTAGCACGTAAGAGACCGACAATATAACGACCGTCTCGAGCTGTCGTTCATCGCGGTCGACCACTACCGATTCTCTCCGATCGAGACTTCCGGCAGCCCTAAACCGACCATCGTGGGTGATCTTTGAAGAAATCTTTAATTCCGTAGTTTAAAAAAAAAATTTTTTTTACTAAAATTAATTGTTTCATCAAAGGAGACCATTTAAAAAACTGCGCTGCCTGACTGTAAAGTGTGTAAAAGAATTAGTAACTCTCTATAAACTATTAACGTGATGTTTAAGCTAAATATTTATCTTTATGCCTAGTTTTTTATTTTATTTTTTTTTTTTTGCCTTACCGTAGGTATTAGCTATCAGCCAGATAGTTTGTTGCTTATTTGAGCTGTACTTATTATACATATATACATACGCGTACACACACACACACACATATATATATATNACCTACAGCATTTGAGAAATAATATAATTTATAAATACATTATGCCTAGTTATTATGTAAAATAGGCGAATAATACAAGCAATATTTTTTTTCCTTTAAGTATATGTGTTTTTTTTTATATGCGAATTTATAAAAAAACATTCCAAATTGAAACGATATAACTTCTTTTTAAAATTTTCAAAACTCAAATGTAAGGATTAATTAACAAACACTGCCCAATACATATTTGATTCAATTCGGTCAAAGACATGCGTCGAATCGACGCTACATTTAAATTGGCCATAAAACGTCTAGAGTTGGTCTTTTTTACGACTTTTTTTATTTATGGATAAATTAGAGACACTGTTTCTAAGCCATCCTAGAGTTTAAACAGCCTAACAAAATATCCACAGCAAAAAATGTAGTTAAATATGCATAAGCGAGTTTAAGCACTGAACGTTGAAGCCGCTTAACTAATAAAGAATTCAGTGGTGGAAACAGTTTCGCCATGAAAGTCGTAGTCGAAATAATGAGAATATTTTTTCGTATCTTTCCACGGCATTATGAGCATGCTATCCAGCAAACAATTAAAATAATTATGCTTCTAGGATCACACATGGCCGGCGAAAAGACAAACCTCGACCTACGTTTGAGGACTACTATTAAACTTTTCCGAATGTAACGATTTTATTTTCAACTTTAACGAGCTTTTTTGCTTTTTTTCTATAGACTTCGCATGCGCACGTGTTAAGAATTGGATTCTGTGCAGATTAAAACATCCTGTTAAGCGAGCATAATTTCATTCAAAACTTTCCGAAATAATGCCTTATACAAAATGCCAAACTTCGCATTGATTTAACAGGCCATTTTGATGAACATAATGCGTTAAAATTTCCATTGCATTCCGTTAGTAAATAAGTGATGGAAATTTTAATTAAATATAAATTTTTTGTTATAAAGCGTAAATAAAATTATACAAAGAGAATATGTACCGCCGCACTCTACAGGGAAAGTAAAGCCCTTTTGTACGGTAGGACCTTACTTTACTTTTTACTGAGAGAATATATAAAATATTTTAAATCCAATTGCACACAAAAACGAACAAAAATCTAGTGTCACACGAACCAAGATTAAACATGTACAAGATGTCACCTTGGATAAACATATTTGGAACGTAGTAGAATTCAAAAATGATTAAACATCAGCACATTCGACAGTCGTCAATATTGATAATCACAGAAAAAATTTACAACATTAGGAGGACGTTGTGCAAGTGAATTTTGCGAAATCTAAACTTATAATAATTCTAATTACGCCGAAATCGTAGTGCAAGACGAGCAATTCTGCAAGAAAATAAAATTACACGAAATTTTATAGCACCGTGTCGATACAATCAATACTAAACAGGATAACCAAATGGATTATATTATTGTAGTTTTGTTGGATGATATTTAACGTGAACAGAAGTGTCAAGAATTACATGTTTACTATACACTTAAAAAAGCTAATTATCAATTAAATATATTTAGGAATCTACTAGAGAAAATGTTATGATAAATCCAATAATTTCAATAAATATACACTATGAAAATCGGACAACTATAAACTTAAAAAAGCTAATTATCAATTAAATATATTTAGGAATCTACTAGAGAAAATGTTATGATAAATTCAATAATTTCAATAAATATACACTATGAAAATCGGACACATTGCAAGAATTAATATACGTTTGTATATTTATGTCGAATTTTTCAAAACAAGCAATTATTCAAGTAAAAATCTGCTTGATAAGCAAAAGAACTGATAATAAAAAATAAGGCTAAATTAATTGGCCACTTTCAAACATACAGGTTGCTAATAATGACATGAAAGTGATTGATACAGACATATTTTGTCCGGTCGACCAGTCGTAAATGTGTTTAAAATTAGAAACACCCTTTTATTATCTTCGTTGATAAGAGTTTTTCAAATGTTCAACATTGAAACAACTTATCTCATATAATTCATTTTGAAAAATTCGGATAAAATCGGGTTCAATAAGTAAACTAGATAGTTTACATTTGAGATAGTAAGGAATATTTGAAAGTTATATTTTTTGATTATTTTTTATAATTAATTTAAAAACACGGTATGGTGATATGTAATGTATAAAAAAAATCAGATATACTTATGAACAGATGTGGGTGTGTTTAAAACAGGACTTGGAACCGGTCTTTTCTTCAAAATCGCTTTTGTAAAATGAAAGCATTTCTTAATAATAAAACTGATTTAAAAAGGTCGATGTTTTTAAGCATCAAGGCTTATGTTAAAAGGGTAGAAGGGCTTTTGTCAAGGTGTTGTTGCATTATTGAATGGTAAATTACTAACTTTGGGCCGTATTCGCGAAAAGGAAAAATTGAAAAAAAAACTGAAAAGATTGGGAATATTTTTAGAAATCGATTAATAAAAATACTCACCGCCCCTACGTACGGCTGGGGAAACCTGTCAAGTCCGGAGAAAAGTTACGTCCACAACACTGAATTAGTCAAAATCAAAACGGGCGTGTTAAAGCAAGGAAAACCGCCTTCAGACTGAAGCAATCCAAAGCGGAGTGGGTCGGCGGCGGCAGTGGGGGCTCGTGCGAGTGGGGGAATCGTGCCCAATGTTTTTCTGAACTTTCCTGAGACCTCAATCACCCTGAGGATGGTTGTGTCGGTAAACTGGTTATTGGCAGTCTGCTGTATCGATGATAATCATATCCGAGTGCTCACTTCGTCGGGGCCTCTCCGGCCATTATCCGTTGACTGGAAAAAAAATTGGGTTTCCCCAGTTTCCCCCAAGGCAGACAAGTAACAAAGAATACAAAAAAACTCGTCTTATCAAATAGTAATTGTCCGTTAAGCCCTCCTGCCAGGACTCACTTTATTATTAAATTTATAAATTGCCACATCAATATAATTATCTAGGAAATTTATAGAGTCAATTACTCCACATAAGCATGTTTTTACATTTTGAGATTTGAAGGTTTTGAAAGTGATTTAGTAGAAAAATAGACTAAATATTAATTAAAATTGAAACGAACTACTGAAAATATGAATCTATACAGAGTGTTCGGCTACTCGTGTTACAAACTTTGCCAATAGATTCTACATACAAAAGTAAAACAAAAAGTCCTAATTAAAGTTGGTACGAATCTCAACAGTTTCGGAGTTATTTCCCTTTTTCTGATTTTTAAGATTTCACGACCTTGCTTCAAATAAACAATGATATCTCCAAGACTAATAGGTTTTGGACAAATCCGTTGATACCATTTAAAACGACGTTAAATTTCCAATAAGATGTGATCAATACTAAACTTGTAAACGTTGGTGAAATAAGCGTTTTAGTAACCAGAACTTTTAAAAAAAATTTCAAAGTTGGAAAATTTACTATGGTGATTCCAAACTATTTCCAAACCTAGAGGCCAGCAAATTTCAGAAAACATACTTCATTAATATCCTTTTTAGTGGCGGATTTGGAAAGATTAAAAAGTAAAATAAAAAACTTAAGGAAATTTTGAATGAATGAACTAAAAACGTTTTGAATTTAAAACTCTTTTATTCCGGGGAATAAACAAAATACAAATAAATACAATAATCCTATAATCAAAGTTGTACTCGTACTGGTAAATAAGTAAAGTAAAAACACTTTTAATAAATTATTTCATTTTTTTTAATCTTTCCACCTCATCAATCCATTAACCACGGTTTTTTCCTTCCTTAATCAATTTCTTCATCTTTGAAAAAAGCAATTAAAAAGCAATAATTGTAAGTAATAAGTAATTATTACACCATTAAAAATGATATTAAATGGTGTACGTTTTCTGAAATTAGCTGGTCTCTTGGTTTGGATATAGTCGTTTGAGTCGTTTGGAATCACCATAGTAGCTTTTCAATTTTGCAAAAAAAATTTAAGTTCCGGCTACTAAAACGCTTATTTCACCAACGTTTACAAATATGGTATTAATTGCATCGTATTGGAAATTTAACGTAATTTTAAATTGTATCAATGGACTTGTCCAAAACCTTTTAGTTTTGAAGTCATTTGAAGCAAGGTCGTGAAATTTTGGAAAATCAGAAAAAGGGGAATAACACCGAAACTGTTGAGATTCAGACCATAGTCAATGAGATCTTTTTGGTTCCATTTTGAATGTAGAACCTACTGGCAAAGTTTGTAACTCGACTAGCCGATCACCCTGTAAATATAAAAATATACAAATTTAGATTAGCTTGAAAGGAAGGGGTTGTTTAACCCCACCCCGAGGAATATCGTGAATTCTGGAGTGAGTGTGAGACGTCACGGGAGTTAAAGTAAGTTATTAGCGAGAATGGAATGTGTTCTACTCCGAGGAATATCCAGTGGGAGAGTGAATGTGACCAGATTTCAATATTTGTGGTTTTGAATTATATATAATTCGACATTTATGGCAAAAAACGTGCTTTTTACGTGCTCATGGAAAAAACCGATCACTCTCCCTCCCGATTGTACCATACCTAACCTGTTCTTTCAATGCGTTATTCGAAGCCAAACTGCCAAAACACCTTTGAAATGGGAAGGAAAAGTTGAATTTCCGTGATGAGGTGAACAAGTGGTTATCGACAGCAGAAGCATTCGCGTCCCAAAAAGTCAAAGTAAGAATTGTCAGTTCCCTGTTCGCTTTTTTGAAAAACATGTCAGAACAAAAGTCGTGGAGCGGAAAATTTACGAAAACATAACTGTTCAAAATTTATGTATTCTTGAAAATCGGGAGAGAGAGAGAGAGAGAGAGAGAGAGAGAGAGAGAGAGAGATCAATTTTTTCCATGAATTTCTAAAAATCGCGAATAACTCGAAAACGGTTAAGAAATTTGGTAAAGTGGAAATAGACCAATCGAAAGCTTATTCAAATTTCCTATCGATTGCTGTAGGGCGCCACTCCAAGACGATTTCAATTTGAAGTTTTCATACAAAATGCAAAAATTAAGATGTTCCCAAATTTTTGAATTTACTGATGAATAACTGAAGCTAGGAAGACATTTAAAAAAGCCATCAGCTTAAAATTATATAAAAAAATTAGAAAATATACATAGAATGAGGCTATCATTTTAGGGTATCGACTTATGTTATTTTTCATATAAAATTAGAATTGTAGCACATTTGGTCTATCAAATGGCTGCAGGCATCAAAGACCGAGCAAAGAAGTACATTCTCCAGCTGGATGCTCCCCACACATATTTTTTTGCAGGTGAGACGTTATTTGAGACGTCACTTCCGGGATAGGTGGATAGGAAGGACATCATGGCCCGATCTGTTGGCCATTTCAAAAACAGTGTCTAAGCCAATCATAACTCAGTTGAAGAACTACGGCAAAGGAGAGAAGTTGTTAAAAAGAGCAAATCTTTGCATCTTTACGCGAGGCTGGCTGTTCGAAAATAAAATGAGATTAATAAATAGCAATCCAAATGACTTTTCCATTGTTTGACAATTTACGATCGATTGCACCATTGTTTTCGGCGTAAAAAAACCTTTAAAATGGTGTGTCATGATGTATAGGGTCGTATTTGAAATTTTGAAGTTGAACTGGGTCTGAAGTATTCTGTATAATTTTTCTACAAAAAAAGATAAAAATTTGAAACTAGGCTAAAAATAATAAACACGTATTTTTTGCTTTTTTGACAGCGTCATTGGTTCGAGAGAAAGTCAGCCGGGCCATCTGAAATGGACACCCAGTATATTGTTCGTAAAAATTCTAGAAATTCATAAAATTTCCCAAAAAAAAGTTTATAAAGTTTTATTCATCGGGAAATTAAGGAATGAACACGCGGTTTAAATATTTAATTTTAATCTAATATTATACCCAAGTAGTTAATACTATGGGTAGAAGGAATAGGAAACAAGTACATTTGTCATTATCTTGAGAGGTATGAAAAATGAAATTTAAAATTGCTTGTGATAAAAATGAGCATTTATATGTAATTTGATGGAGAATTTTCGACTGAAGTGATTAAAAACATTTGGAACTGGAATCCTGTGGTGTCCCACACTTCACAAACTACGCCCAGAGAGGTCATTATTGTAAATTAAAATTTCGTTTTCTATGTCTAAGCTTCGTCTGAGTCAAGTAGTCTTTTTAATAATTATAATGTCGGTTTGTTTCTTGTATGTTCAGCGTTGTGGATAGATTCAAAGTCAGTCGTTTATCCATTAAAGTCCAAGATAACGCACAAGGTCAGTGGTAGACAATAGGGTTCCATTTATGCTAACACGTCGTCATGAGTACAGCGTTGTATACGTTGGTTAAGTAAAGCAAACGTCTGTTGGGAAAATTTCGTAATATTTGTGTTGTAATTAACTCATATGCTGGAAAATTAAAACTGAAGATTGGAAGTTTGTAAACAAGATATAATGATTTATATAGTGGTATTTGCTGTGCAACTTTATGGTACGTATAATTTCTGTTAAATTACAATATTCAAATATTTTAAGAAAATCAATAGATGCCAATGTAGTGGAACATTTAATACGTCGTGATTAATATATTTTAAATTCCAAACATGAAAATGAACAGTACCGTAACAGTACACGTAATCCCGACGGGTTCTCAATTACATATTAAGACACAATACAATGAATTTAGAAATAATCAAAACACTGACATATATTGTACAAATCACAAGAGGTATACAACATACACAGAATTTGAAAGGGTTTTAGAGGTTTATTACATAAATACTTAACTCAGAAAAAACCTCAGGTGGAAAATTTGCAAACAAGTATATAATTTGAAAGTAAATATTTTATAAATGATAAAATCATCCCTGTTGAAGAAATAAACTCACTAAAAAACAATACAGTAGGACATGTATTTGTACATAATACATCGTCACTGTTCGTTTTAATTAAACCTAAGATTGTATTAACCATAATAATTTTAAATATANTGTGTGTGTGTGTGTGTGTGTGTGTGTGTGTGTGTGTGTGTGTGTGTGTGTGTGTGTGTGTGTGTGTGTGTGTGTGTGTGTGTGTGTGTGTGTGTGTGTGTGTGTGTGTGTGTGTGTGTGTGTGTGTGTGTGTGTGTGTGTGTGTGTGTGTGTGTGTGTGTGTGTGTGTGTGTGTGTGTGTGTGTGTGTGTGTGTGTGTGTGTGTGTGTGTGTGTGTGTGTGTGTGTGTGTGTGTGTGTGTGTGTGTGTGTGTGTGTGTGTGTGTGTGTGTGTGTGTGTGTGTGTGTGTGTGTGTGTGTGTGTGTGTGTGTGTGTGTGTGTGTGTGTGTGTGTGTGTGTGTGTGTGTGTGTGTGTGTGTGTGTGTGTGTGTGTGTGTGTGTGTGTGTGTGTGTGTGTGTGTGTGTGTGTGTGTGTGTGTGTGTGTGTGTGTGTGTGTGTGTGTGTGTGTGTGTGTGTGTGTGTGTGTGTGTGTGTGTGTGTGTGTGTGTGTGTGTGTGTGTGTGTGTGTGTGTGTGTGTGTGTGTGTGTGTGTGTGTGTGTGTGTGTGTGTGTGTGTGTGTGTGTGTGTGTGTGTGTGTGTGTGTGTGTGTGTGTGTGTGTGTGTGTGTGTGTGTGTGTGTGTGTGTGTGTGTGTGTGTGTGTGAGTGTGAGTG